GTAGGCAATCTAGTATATTATTCGTGGGACTAAGCTCTAATTTACCTCACATTAAAGAAACACTATAGTCCCCAGAACCACTTCAGCTTAATGTAATGGCTCTGGTGTCTATAGCCTGTCCCTGCAGGCCTTTTAATGTAAACACGGCGCACTGCAGCACTGGCGTTAGTTAACATGGCAAATCATATGGGTGGGGCATTGTGATGTCACATGGGGGGGGGCGGCAAACTTTACTTTTGCCTAGGGCGGCAAAAATCCTTGCACCGGCCCTGGCTGGAGAGGGCTGTGTGAGCTGTGGCCGCACAGTGTCCCATGGTAGTTAGGGTGCCGCACGGAGGAAATGTGTATGTGTGACTGTCTGCCTGTGACTGTGTGTGACTGTCTGCCTGTAACTGAGTGTGTGACTGTCTGCCTGTAAATGTGTGTGTGGGGCTGCAGGGATTTTGTAGAAGGGGCGGGGGGTTTGTATTGGGACAGGAGTCTTTATAAGGGGGGATAAGCAGGGGATTTGTGGAAGAGGGTTGTGGGGGTTTTGTAGACGGGGAAGTACAGGATTTGTAGAAGGGGCAGGACAGAGGTTTTGTAGGAGGAGCGGGGCAGGACAAGCGTTTTGTAGGAGGGGCTGACAGCGGTTTTGCAAAGTTTACAAATTGTAAAAAAAAAAGAAAGAAAACTTTTAAAAAATAATTTTCCAAGCACAGGATCCGCCCCGGGTGCCAAATGCTCTAAGTACGCAAAAACATCAGCAAAAACATATGTGAAAAAGCTGGAACTTGATGGACGCAAGTCTCTTTTCAGTTATGTAACTATGTAAGGTGAAAAAGATTCAACATCTTAGTTTGCGTTGTTCTCACCTTGCGCTCAGTTACAAAGTCTGCCTGATCAGGGAGGACTAGCCACTGCTAATGGGTGCAGGATCTGAGTGAAAATTTTCAAGTCAATGTTGATTAAGGAAATTGGCCGGTAGCTGCCACACTCAGTGGGATCATTATCCACTTTAGGAATTGAGTGTCATGTGCCTCCAGGGTGGAGTCAGGGAGGGATGTGGAATGGATAATAGAATTGAAGGTCATTGTGAAAGGTTTCACTAGGATGTAGATGTGACATGTAATATTTGGTGGTAATAGCATCTGGGTTATGACTTTTCCCTAGTGGAAGGTGTTTTAGCACAGTTTGAAATTCTTCTGTTGAGATAGGAGCCTTTAGGGCTTGTAGGTCAATGTAATTGATGGTCTCATTGAATCTCGTGGTGAAGATCCAGGCTATGTCATCTTTCATAGGTGGTTCTTGTCTTAAGTTGTAGAATTTAAAGTAGAAATCGTGGAAGGCTGCAAGTATGTCTGCAAGATTATGTGATGTGTCCCCTGGTTTTTTAATTTGATAGATGAAGGTGGTCTATCTGGCACTTTAGCCAACAAACTACCACACTTACCATCTTGAGAGTAGTGTCTATGTTTTGTAAAGATAAGTTTGTGTTTATTCTGTGCATTGAGTTGTTGCAAATCAGATCTCTTTTCTGCCAACTGTTTATAGGTATCAAGTGAATTGCAAAGTTTGTGTTTTTCCTCTAAGTACTGAATCATTTGGAGTAATGAGGCTAGTTGAGATTCCTGGTTCATTTTAGCTTTTTTAGAAGCAAGAGCAATAAGGTGACCCCTTATGACAGGATTATGAGCCTCCCACGTGGTGGCTGGGGAGAGGGCGGGTAGCGAATTTTCAGAAAAATAATGGTTCAGGGTTTCAGCTACTTGAGAGACCAGGGTTTGGTCATTAAGCAGCAAGTCACTGAGTTTTAATTGAAACATCTTGGGTAGTAGGGAAGGGATTTGAATGGCAAGAAACAGGGGTGCATGGTCAGACCAGGTTTTAGGGCCATATGTAAGTTTGGATCATGTGGAGAAATCTATGAGGGAGGAAGAGCATGTCAATCCTAGAGTATGTCCCCGCAGTGTGTGAAAAATAGCATATCACTCACCCTGGAGTAAGGGTGAGTGATATGCCAACAATCAAACATTTATAAAGTGTTTAATAGTGAGCTAATTTGTCTCCTAGTAGTGGAATGGTATGTTATATTAATTCAACTGGATGTTATATTAGATGTAAGCACAGGTCATGTCAAACTAACTTGATTGCGTTCTACGAAGAAGTAAGTAGAAGTATAGATCAGGGTGTTGCCGTGGATGTGATCTATTTGGATTTTGCCAAGGCATTTGATACAGTTCCACACAACAGATTAGTGTTCAAACTCAAGGAAATCGGTCTAGATGAAAATGCTTGTTCTTGGGTAGAACATTGGCTTAAAAACAGAGTACAAAGAGTTGTCATTAATGGTAAATTTTCAAGCTGGACAGAGGTGGCAAGTGGTGTCCCTCAGGGGTCTGTTCTGGGACCCCTTCTATTTAACATGTTTATAAATGATCTTGAAGACCGCATTGAAAGTCATGTTTCAGTGTTTGCAGATGACACCAAACTTTGTAAAACAACACAATGTGAGCAAGATATTACTTTGCTGCAGAGGGACTTAGATAGACTGGGGGACTGGGCACTCAAATGGCAGATGAAATTTAATGTTGAAAAATGCAAAGTTATGCACTTCGGCGTAAAGAATACACAAGCAACGTATACCCTTAATGGAAGCGAATTAGGGATAACAACACATGAAAAGGACTTGGGAATTGTTATAGACAACAAACTATGCAACAATGTGCAATGTCAATCAGCAGTGGCCAAGGCCAGTAAGGTATTGTCATGCATGAAAAAGGGCATTCATTCTCGGGACAAGAATATAATTTTGCCTCTTTATAAATCATTGGTAAGACCCCATATTGAATATGCTGTGCAATTTTGGGCACCTGTTCTAAAGAAGGATATTATGGCACTAGAAAAAGTGCAGAGGCGGGCTACAAAATTAATAAAAAGGAATGGAACATATCGGCTATGAAGAAAGGTTAACAAATTTAAACCTATTTAGTTTAGAAAAACGTCGCCTGAGAGGGGATATGATAACATTATACAAATATATTCGTGGCCAATACAAACCATTGTGTGGAAATCTATTCACAAACCGGACTTTACATAGAACACGAGGCCATGAGTTTAGACTGGAAGAAAGAAGATTTCGTCTAAGGCAAAGGAAAGGTTTTTTTACTGTAAGAACAATCAGGATGTGGAATTCTCTGCCTGAGGAAGTGGTTTTATCAGAGTCCATACAAATGTTCAAATGGCTACTAGATGCATACTTGCAAGAACAGAATATTCAAGGATATAATCTTTCAATGTAGGGTAATAACTGCTTGATCCAAGGATAAATCTGACTGCCATTCTGGGGTCAAGAAGGAATTTTTTTTCCTAGTTTGTTGCAAAATTGTGCTTCAAACTGGGGTTTTTTTGCCTTCTTTTGGATCAACAGCAAAAAACAAATGTGAGGTAGGCTGAACTTGATGGACGCAAGTCTCTTTTCAGCTAGGTAACTATGAAACTATGAAACTATGTAGTGTCCATTGCCGAATTCAGGGAGATGTTGAGGTCACCAACAAGTAGTAAATCAAAATACCTTTTTAAAAAGATTCTATGGACCTGACACTTTTCCTGAACACTTTGCATTGCCTTCTGTTTAGGATGTAGAGGTTAGCCATCCACTTTGCTTGTCCTATCTGACCCTTCACTAAGAGGAGTCTACCCGAGTCACCAGATGTATGGGCTTTATAAATAAGGGCACAGTGAATGCAATGAATATGACCACCTCTCGAGCCCCCCGAGAAATTGCTGAAATACCCTGTAGGGTATCATCTATGGTTACAGAAATTAGGTGCCTTATCTTTATGAAAGTGCGTCTCCTGGGCAAAGACTATATCGGCATTTAATTTGTGGAATTGGATGAGCGCCAATGTGTACTTTTCTGGTGAGTTTAGGCCTCTGACAATTAGAGTAGCCTTAATGCGGAGGATATACACTCAAGAACTCTAGGTTAGGACTCGCAGGCAACACCAAGTTTACTAAAAATGTAAAACTAAAAATGAACTATATACACAGTAACAAACAAAAAAATTAATGTTTGCAATGAATCAGTATTCTGCAGAATGCCAAAACTGAAACCATCAGTATCTATTACATGGTGAGAGGGTTTTTCCCCATGGGGATCAAATTGACACCACTTACACAGTCACTAGAACCAGGGGGGTGTAATATGCAAAAGAGCTAGTGGCTGTAGAAGCTTACCATTTATGAGCTTTGCCATACAGCTATACTTTAGCGTTTGAAGAAAACAAAATGGGCATCATAAGAATTTCGACTTTCATAGTTGGGAGGGGTAATAGAACAAAAGGTTAGCTTATAATAGAGAATCAATTAAGTACATGGGTTTAGAAGTATTGGGCATTGTGGTAGATCGCTGCAGGGATTGTCTTCGTGGCATAATCTCCTTATCTGACTTGGCCATGTGAGTGAATAGGGGCCAAACTCTGGGATACAAATAGTGTAAAATGTAGGCATATGGGTAGGCTACACCCCATGTGGTATATAACCCTAATCTCTTCATAGAGCATTGGGCTTGAGCGTAGTTGAGGCCAGAGAGTGAAGGGTATGCAAGCTGACAACTGACAACTTATTGAGAAGGGGGAGCTCTGTGATCATAGAATAGATAGGGTAGTAACCCATAGTTTTTGGGGTTTTTTTGTATGAAGGGATGTGGACTGATAAACATCCCCTCACTGGCAAGTCATCCAGTGAATTAAAAAATATATATATTTGGCTAAACAAGCATAGCCCCGGTGTGGCGTGATTGGGGTACAATCACCCGATTACTGTAGGAGGAAGTTTTGTGGGGCCTTAACCGGGACAGGTCAGTGATTTAGGGGGGAGATGAATAGACCAGGAGAAGGGAGGGGGAGTAGAGTGGAGATGGGAAGGGATGGTACAGATGTATGAAGGAGGGAAGGGAGAAAGGTTACGGAAAAAGCCATATAGCAAAAAAAAACATTAATTCAGACAATATAGAACACATAGCACAGTATCATCTTACGAGTGCAGCTTGGTTTGGAAAGACATCTCCAATTTTCTGAGCATGCTGGCTATGTCGCGTTTGGAAGGTAGACTTTTGATGGCCTCCTTGATTACTATGTCAGCTGAGAGAGTGGAGATTTCGAGGGAGCTCATTCATCTTGTAAGGATTTAGGCGCAATGTCAAGGCTCGAGGTGCCTAGGTGTGAATCTGCATTATGCCCCATCATAAGGTAAAAGCCTGATGTGTGTGGATTCGCTGCCATACAGCTCAGAGGTTGGCTCTACCCCCTCAAGATAAATTTTTTTGGTAAGGCAGAGATTTTAACAAATAAATATTTTTTTAAAAGGTTATCCTTTCAACCAACTACGATCAGAAGTTGAAAAGTAGGAAATATTAATATGAATAGATCTCCCTCTAGATAAGAACAAAAAACTATTGGATTTTCAGAATAAAACATTTGAGTTTTCCTTTAATACCCATTACAATGAGAAAGCTTTTTATATCCGTCAGACATTAAAAAAATATTGGCCAATATTATTAGAAGATAAGGTTTTAAGGCCTGAATTACCCATTAGACCTAATGTAAACTTCTGAAAGAGAAATAATTTTATGAATTACTTAACACATGGCACATTTGGGAATAGAAATCAGAATAATTAATTGGTGAATTTTACTCAAGAAGGTTTTTTACATGTGGACAATGTAAAACCTGACACTTTTTACTTAAGACTACAGTGTATTTTAAGAGTTCTTATACCCAGGAAGTTTTTAAAATGAGGAGTAGATTTTCCCGGACTTCCACACATATTGTGTACCTGCTAACTTGTAAATGTGGTGCACAATATTTTTGAAGGATGGGAAGAAAAGTCAGATTCCGCTTTTTAGAACATTTGAATAACATTAGAAAACAATTGACATCTAATTCAGTTCCTTGCCAGCAATCAAAATCCATCATTTGATCCCGAAATCTCTAATTTATTGTAATTAAACAAGTTAAGCTCAATGAGAGAGGAGGGGATCTGATGATGAAGATAACAAGGAGAGAAGGTTTTTTGATGCACAGACTTCAGATATTATATCCCAAAGGGCTGAATGTCTATTTTGATTCAGTATGCTTTTTTAGAAATATACAGTCATGGGGAAAAAAAGTACAAGCTCTTTGAATTCTATGGTTTTACATATCAGGACAATCATCTGTTTCTGAGAAATTGCAAAACATCCAAGAGTTACATCTCTCTACAGGCCTCAGTTAGCATGTTAAATCTTAGTTCAAAAGTTCATTATACTACAATTAGAAAAAGACTGGACAAGTATGGCTTGTTTGGAAGGGTTGCCAGGAGACAGCCACTTCTCTCTAAAAAAACATGACAGCATGGCTTAGGTTTGCAAAGTTGCATCTGAACAAACCACAATATGTCTGGAACAATGTTCTTTGGACAGACAAGACCAAAGTTGGGCCATGATGCACAGCGCCACTTTGGAAAAAACTAAACACAACATATCAGTACAAACTCCTCATATCAACTGTCAAGCACAGTGGTGAAGAGGCGATGATTTAGGCTTTTTTAGCAGCCACAGGACCTGATAACCCTGCAGTCATTGAGTCAATCATAAACTCCACTGTATACCAAAGTAGTCTAGAGTCAAAGGTGAGGCCATCTGTCCAACAGCTCAAGTTTGGCTGAAATTGAGTTATGCAACAGGACAATAACCTTAAAGGATCACTATAGTGTCGGGAAACCAAACACGTTTTCCTGACACTATGTAATCCTTGGGGAACCCTCACCCTCAGGGTCCTCCTCCCGTGGTGCTGAAGGTTAAAACCCCTTCAGCAGCTTACCTTAATCCAGCTCCGGCCTCACTTCATCCCACCTAGAGACTTCCTCAGGGACAATTCTGTGCTTTTCAAACAATATACAAAAAGCACAGTAAAAGCAAACTTTCTTTAGACCTACAGATGGGAACAGTTTAATAATTAACAGCTGCCACTATCCAAAATGGCAAAAAAATAAAAAAGAACCAATTTTAAGGATAAAACATAATTGTTCTAAACAGAAAGATTTCCAATTTTATGGCAAGACAGGAGGCTTCATATTTGCTTTACTTCCTTTACTGTTCCTCCCAGCAGCAAAGAAACAGTTAACAGATTGAAAAAAAGAAACAACCAATCAGAACACATCTAGTCATTAATAAGTGGCTGTGAAACTCCTCCCAATTCCTCTTTCTTTGCTGCTTGCCTCCCAGGTGAGTCAATTCTGATTTCAGACCTTATAAGAATTTTTTATACATATTTAAATTTATTTATTTATGTCCATTATTTATATTGTTTTACCCCCTTTCTCCTGGGGCCGACCTTGGTCGGCCCACAGGACCATTTGCCCTTTCTGGGGCACTCAATACCCCTTGTGAGATCCCACCGAGGGTTATTCCCCTTTTTACACCACCCACGGCGTGTTTCTTGCCGACCGCGATTTAGCTGCGGCTTTGTTTACTTTTTCCCCGCTTCTCAGCCCGTGGCTTCCCTCCACCACCCACGGCGTTTTCCTTTCCGCCGATCGCGATCTGATCGCGGCTTTGTTTATTGCCTGTCAGCTCTCACACAGCAGGGTCTCTCTGTACCTGCTTCCCGCGTTTTTTTTTCATCAAAGCGCAGGCTCCGCCTCTGCACTAGCCGGCGGCCATTTTCACTGTGCGGCAGTTTACCTCACTAACGGTTCTCTGCCTGTCAGTTCTCTCACAAAGTGATCTCATTCCTTTCGAATTTTAAAGGTGTATCTCCACTTCTTCTTTGCATGCCAGTTCCAAGGTAAGTACTTTTTTCTCTATCATATATACACATATTATTTGTTTTATTCTTTTATTTTATTCTAAAAATCCCCTATTTTACTTCACACAGGTTCTGTTCACAAACTTTAAAGTGTTTTTTTCCTGCCATCACCGACATCAGGCCAAACACTTTCTGCCACAAGGGTGACCCCCTTGCTAATAACAGGTGACCCCTGTTTTTTTTGTGGTTACAGCGGTACCTTAAGGGCTCCGTTTGCTAACTAGCTTTCCATTAATTTGTGTCTCAGTGACATTACAGTGGGTGACTCCACTTTTTTCTTTGCATCTTGGGCAACCCCCATTTGCTTGTTTGGGTGACCCCCAAACTTAACTATAAGGGTGACCCCCTTTTTATTCCTGGGTGACCCCCAGCTATTGTCAGGGTGACCCCCTGCCTTACAATTTTAAGTTTATTATTTTTGTGTTTCAAATTTGTTAATAATGTCTGAACAACAGGACACTGTCTCTGCTGAATTAAAATCCTGGCTTTTTTCAGCAATAGCGGAATCCATGCCCAAAGCTATTGCGGCTTACCACAAACAGGCTAAACCTGCTCCAAAGCCAACTACTGCATTAAATATTTCCGACTCAGAAGAGTCTCACGATTCTGACCATGACGGGGCTCCGCGCAAGCGTCCCTGGAAGGGCAACAGTGTCTCCGCCGGTAAAGGCAAGGCACCTGCAAAAAATGCTAGACTGTCACTTCCCTCCTCAAGCCTTCCATTATTGGATCCCTTAGAGGGTTCCACAGCACACGACCTACAGGTCGTAGACGAGTACTGTGCAGGGTACTCGGACGAAGAAGACGAGAGTAATACTAGGTATGTCAAGGAATCCTACACCAAACCATTCGTGGTTAGCCCCATGCCCACTAATCCATCACAAAATAAGGATCCTTTAACTGACATCCTTGGATGGTAACGGCCAACCCCTTTTTGATCCTAGAATCATCAAACACCCCCGGTCCGCTGAATGGGCACCACCTAGCCATATTGCTCAATTCTGCAGAATGTGGCTCAGAAAACCGCTAGAGAAGGAGATCAGGAACAAATTACGGGCTGAATGCCCTCGACCTACAATTCCGGATAAGGTCGCCCTAACTCCCGAGTTTGATCCCCTCCTCATTACCTTCCTCAGCAAGTCAGGAAAAGACCCACGCAAAGGCCTGGAACAGGGCCTCAAAACAGTCAAGGACAAATTATTGGATATTGCTGGTCCCATTATCCAGATTTTTATCTTGGCAGATGAAGCCATTGTTGAAGGTACCTTGGACCCACACTTGGTACGTGAATGGGCCCAAAGAGCCCTGTGTCTCTTGGGGAATGCTAACGTGGCCATGTCCACTGAAAGAAGGAAAGCTGCGCTATATAAAATAGACGCAAAATTGGCAGATTTGGGTTCCAAAGAACTTGGCCCAGAGGCCAACGGCCTCCTATTTGGGGACCAGTTCATGCGGGACCTCAACAGACACGTATCTGTATTCACCTCACTGAACAAGGCCCAGACCTCCCTTCGCAGGGTGTTTCGAACCAACCGTTTCTCTGGCAAAGCCGGTCGCCACAGAGGCCGAGCTACCGGCAGGTCTGCCTTCAACGGCTACAGGCCTCGACCAAGTGAACCTTGGAACTCTGGTTATGCCCGTCCCTATCATAGACAACTGTTTACCAACAGAGGATCAATCAGAGGACGTGGCTCTGCTTCTCTCCGGGGTCGATCTGCTCAAGGTAATGCACCTACCTTATTCTCTAGTACCTATTGCAGGCCGTTTAACTTGTTTTTTCCCACAGTGGTCTCTTCTCACTCAGGATCCTTGGATCCTTCAGACTGTTTCAGGTTTTCTTATGGATTTCATCACCGACCCCATACAGGACTCACTGCCCCCTCCCATACGGATGTCCCAGCCGGACACCACCGCCTTACATGCAGAACTCTGCAAACTCAGAGACAAGGGCGCAATCGAACCCTCTTCATCCCCCCTCAGATTTGTCAGCAACATCTTTCTGGTTCGAAAAAAGTCAAACGATTTTCGCCCCATCATCAATCTGAGAGGGCTAAACCAATTTGTGGCGAAACCAACCTCGCCACTGTGAACTGGAGAAGCCTGGTTGCTCGCCTGCTCCCTTTGGACTATGGCCCTGCAGGTTAAACCGTTTATTTCCCCTGCAGAAAGGCTTATTTGTGTGATCTGAGTGCCATTCATCTAATAATGTGCACTCAGATCCCAGCTATCTGGGGATATGTGAAATGTCTGTGTGTTATGTGTAAATGTGACTTTATGTATTTTAAAGTGTTTTGTGTCTTTTGCAACCATGTGCTTAATGGAGTCTTGTGTCTGTCCTGGGAGATAATTGAATTACTTATCTCCAGGATAGAAGACTCTGAAACTGGTTTGGGCCAGAAAGCCATGCTTCATTTAGTCACAAAGGACTTTTTACTAACTTTTGAACCCCTTGTCTGATTTGTGCCATTTTTGAATATGTTGTTCCCTGAATGGATTGATTGTGAATATGTAATTTTATGTGAATGTGATGTATGGTTTTAGAGTTATGAAAGTTGGGTAGAAAGTATGTTTTAACTGTATGTATAATTGAGTTTCCTCTCAGGATAAGGGGAGGGAATATGTGGGATGTAACTGATGTGATTGGTTGTTTTGTAACGCCCTGTGGGCTGTACTATGTTTGTGGATTGGGAATAAAAGAGACTGTATGTGACAGTACAGGGAGTTCCTGTTTTAACCCTCAAAGTGAAGTGTCGTCTCATTATTGGGGGAAGGATTTATTGTATGCTGTTCCAGTTTGACTGCTAGGAGAGTAAACCTATTCGTATGGTTCCTATTCAACTGTCTACAGCATTCATATGCTTGAGAGAATTTATATGCTTCTCTGGTTCGGTGATTGTGGTGTCTGCTGCAGTGCTTGGAGTCCTCAGGAAGCGCTAGGAGCATCTTTCAACGGAGGTACCCAGTCGGGGTGCCAGGCATCCGTTACATTGGTGGCAAGCGGTGGGATGGCGTCCTAGTGCGAGGTAAAGCAGCTCGGAGACACAGTTCGTGGATTTACAAATTAAGGGCAACGCTAGTACCCGTACAGCGACCCTATCTACAAAAGAACTAACTTCAGCAGAGCAAGCATGGCGTATGACTACACTCAGGAGGAGTTTGACAGAGAGGTTAATGAGGTGCTGTCTACCTTTGGACCCAACCCCCCAGAGAGAGCCGTGCAGCTCGCCAGGAAACTAGTAGGAGAATACCTGCAATCTCTAGTAGATTTGGCCAAAAAGGAGTCCCAGGGAGCCAAAGGTGTCGTCCTTCCTCCCCAGCAGCAGTGTGTACCCCAGGGAGCAGAAGGTGTTGTCCTTCCTCCCCAGCGGCAGTGTGAGTCCCAGGGAGCCAAAGGTGTCGTCCTTCCTCCCCAGCGGCAGTGTGTACCCCAGGGAGCAGAAGGTGTTGTCCTTCCTCCCCAGCGGCAGTGTGTGTCCCAGGGAGCCAAAGGTGTCATCCTTCCTGCCCAGCGGCAGTGTGTCCCCCAGGGAGCTGAAGGTGCCGTCCTTCCTCCCCAGCGGCAGTGTGTACCCCAGGGAGCAGAAGGTGTTGTCCTTCCTCCCCAGTGGCAGTGTGAGTCCCAGGGAGCCAAAGGTGTCGTCCTTCCTCCCCAGCGGCAGTGTGTACCCCTTCCTCCCCAGCGGCAGTGTGTACAGGGAGCTGAAGGTGCCGTCCTTCCTCCCCAGCGGCAGTGTGTACCCCAGGGAGCTGAAGGTGCCGTCCTTCCTCCCCAGGGAGCCAAAGGTGCAGTCCTTCCTCCCCAGCGGCAGTGTGTATTCCAGGGAGCTGAAGGTGCGTCCTTCCTCCCCAGCGGCAGTGTGTACCCCAGGGAGCTGAAGGTGCCGTCCTTCCTCCCCAGCGGCAGTGTGTATCCCAGGGAGCTGAAGGTGCCGTCCTTCCTCCCCAGCGGCAGTGTGTCCTGCAGGAAGCAGAGACAGTCGGTCTCGCTCCCCAGCAGCCGGACAATATATTAAAAGGGGAGACAGTTGGTCCCCCTCTCCAACAGCAGAGAGTGTTCCAGGGAGAGGAACCAGTTATCACCTCTCCCCAGCAACAGGACAAATTATTGAAAGGGGAGACAGTCGGTCTCCCCCTTCAACAGCAGAGAGAGTGTCAGGGAGAGGAGCTTGTTATTCCCTCTCCCCAGCGGCTGAAAGTATGTATGGGAGAGGAGCTGGTTACCCCCTCTCCCCAGCGGCAGCTTAGCCCACCAAGTGGAGACAGTAATCTCCACAACAGTGCAGATGGGACAGTGGTCTCTGCACATGCACCACCGGGGGTAGGGACAGTCGGTCCTGTCCCCCAGCAGCAGGACTGTTTAGGCAAAGGGGAGACAGTCTGTCTCCCCCTCCAGCAACCAGGCTCCAACCAGACTACTCCCGTGGTAGTGCTGGCACCAGGGCATAGTACCGCTGGTCTCTGCCCACTCAGCAACCCACCAAGGCAGCCTAACAGCTGCCCACACAGTCGTGGTGAGGCACCTGGACATGGACAAAGTTCTCCTCTACCCAGGTGTAGTAACCAGTTATTGTGGGTGGGCTGTACTGCTGTTTCTGTTTTGTGGGTGGGTTGCTGGACTAACCAGGGCACTGACCGGCAGGAGGTCAGATACCCTGTTAGTCTAGTTGGTAAAGGGGAGAAGTGTGGCGAAACCAACCTCGCCACTGTGAACTGGAGAAGCCTGGTTGCTCGCCTGCTCCCTTTGGACTATGGCCCTGCAGGTTAAACTGTTTATTTCCCCTGCAGAAAGGCTTATTTGTGTGATCTGAGTGCCATTCATCTAATAATGTGCACTCAGATCCCAGCTATCTGGGGATATGTGAAATGTCTGTGTGTTATGTGTAAATGTGACTTTATGTATTTTAAAGTGTTTTGTGTCTTTTGCAACCATGTGCTTAATGGAGTCTTGTGTCTATCCTGGGAGATAATTGAATTACTTATCTCCAGGATAGAAGACTCTGAAACTGGTTTGGGCCAGAAAGCCATGCTTCATTTAGTCACAAAGGACTTTCCCTTAACTTTTGAACCCCTGGTCTGATTTGTGCCATTTTTGAATATGTTGTTCCCCTGAATGGATTGATTGTGAATATGTAATTTTATGTGAATGTGATGTATGGTTTTGGAGTTATGAAAGTTGGGTAGAAAGTATGTTTTAACTGTATGTATAATTGAGTTTCCTCTCAGGATAAGGGGAGGGAATATGTGGGATGTAACTGTGATGTGATTGGTTGTTTTGTAACGCCTGTGGGCTGTACTATGTTTGTGGATTGGGAATAAAAGAGACTGTATGTGACAGTACAGGGAGTTCCTGTTTTAACCCTCAAAGTGAAGTGTCGTCTCATTATTGGGGAAGGATTTATTGTATGCTGTTCCAGTTTGACTGCTAGGAGAGTAAACCTATTCGTATGGTTCCTATTCAACTGTCTACAGCATTCATATGCTTGAGAGGATTCATATGCTTCTCCGGTTCGGTGGTTGTGGTGTCTGCTGCAGTGCTTGGAGTCCTCAGGAAGCGCTAGGAGCATCTTTCAACGGAGGTACCCAGTCGGGGTGCCAGTCGATCCGTTACACAATTCATTGTGTACAGGCACTTCAAGATGGAGGGCATACACTTACTCCGAGACCTCCTTTGCGAGGGAGACTGGTTCTCCCGTTTCGACCTCAGGGATGCCTACCTTACGGTACCGATTGCACCCTGTCACCGCCCTTTCCTCCAGTTCATATGGCTTCAAGAGCTTTGGCAGTTCACCTGCCTCCCTTTTGGTCTCTCATCCGCCCCTTGGTGTTTCACCAAGTTAATGAAGCCAGTTATGGCTCTTCTCCGGTCCCAAGGTGTCCGGTCCATCGTCTACCTAGATGATATATTGATCATGGCACAAGA